CCCTTGTAGATTGGAAGCTCCCGTGAACAGGGTCCTCTAATCCTTTTGTATGGTATTGCAATTGTACTGTCGCCCCCTATGTTGTAAAGTGCAAACTGCAGGTTCTATATAAATCCCGTATAATAATAATAAAGTATACATTGATACATTGTAGCTGATCAGATAATAATATCAGTATTGGTTTATATAATGTTTACCTTTGCAGTGAATTGTATGTGATGTAATATAAAAGCCGGCAGCAGTCTAATAGAAAGGTCTGATGGTGGAGTGTCCTTCATATAAACATAACAGAATAGTAATAAAATCAGAAGAGATGCAGCAGAGGATTCATGAGTGATGTAATGCTACCTCCGGCCTGTAGGTGTCGCTGTGTGCCATCTGTCCTCCGGAAGTCAGGTGTCGCTGCGTCCTATCTGTCCTCCCTGTAGCTATCGCTGTGTCCTCTCTGTCCTCCGGCCTGCAGGTGTCGCTGTGTCCTATCGGTCCTCCGGCCTGTAGATGTCAATGTGACCTGTCGCTGTTTCCCGGGTGGTGTCCTGTCAATCCTCCGTCTTCCTGGTTTCTATGATGAGGAAGTGATTGCAGTGACAGCAGCAGCAGGTGAGGCTCCATACAATGTCTCATTATTATAACATTGTCATCTTCTGTGTATATGTTGCTCTTTCTATAGGGACTGATCTCGGATCATTGATCTGTATGTAGTGACTGGTCTGTTCATTATGACATTGTTGCATACAACAGCCCCAAAACCTAACGCCCACCTCCCCCACTTCCTCCCCCACAACACAGTGTGCATCTGTCTGCAGCATTTAATTATTTGCAATTATTTCAATTCAAATGAGGGTATACTTGGCTCCGCCCACACAACCACATTATCCTAATCTGGGATTGGTCGCTGCAGATTCCGCCCGAGAGATTACACACTGTGCACAAGGGACCCCCCTCTTCCAGGGGACCCCCTCCTCCCTCTTCAAGACTTAGTTCAGCTGCTTTACCTCTGGCCCCATAACAGACCTCCCATACAGGTGGAATACACCGCAAGAGCCTGTGCACTGTACCCGTGATATACTGATCGCAGGCGCAATGCTCTGCAGGCTTTATCCAGTGTGAAACTTCCTGTAATAAAGACTGCTCACTGCTGCTCTCTCTCCCTGTGCAGGGTGACTGGTCTTGTCTCCGCCCCTCCTGTAATAAAGACTGCTCACTGCTGCTCTCTCTCCCTGTGCAGGGTGACTGCCTCCTGTAATAAGACCGCCCACTGCTGCTCTCTCCTTGTGCAGGGTGACTGGTCTTGTCTCCGCCCCCTTCTGTATTATAGACTGCTCACTGCTGCTCTCCTTGTACTGGGTAACTGGTGTGGTCTCCACCCCCTCCTGTAGTTTCTTGTGGGTGGGGCCTGCTGGGTCCCTCCCACAGCTCTGCTCTCTGCACAGGCCACGTACAGCACAGAGATGATGTCACTGCTACGTTTACAAGGTAATATCTGCAAAGGCACTCAGTGCACACAGATGGGGGATTTATATGACTTGCACCCATTGAGGAATACAATTAAAGTTTTTTGTGTTCGGACAATTATTATTTTCTGGGTCTCCAATTATTTTTTTAAACATATTTTTCCCACTTTCGTTTTTCTTTTCAGTGTTCTGGTCAGTGTGAGGAGCTGGGAGCGGACACGCCATGGGGCTTCTATCTGACCCAAACCGTAGACAGGCCCTCTCCCGGGTCATCACCGGTCTGAACGCCCCCCTGTGGTGAGTGGCGGTAATGTTTGTGATCTGAGTAAAAGCATTGGAAGGAGTGCTGAGTCTGGGCCCGCCCCATCTAGAATAATTGGAAGGGGTGCTGAGTCTGGGCCCGCCCCATCTAGAATAATTGGAAGGGGGGCTGAGTCTGGGCACGCCCCATGTAGAATCATTGGAAGGGGTGCTGAGTCTGGGCCCGCCCACTTTAGAATCATTGGAAGGAGCGCTGAGTCTGGGCCCGCCCCATGTAGAATCATTGGAAGGGGAACTGAGTCTGGGCCCGCCCACTTTAGAATCATTGGAAGGAGTGCTGAGTCTGGGCCCGCCCACTTTAGAATCATTGGAAGGGGTGCTGAGTCTGGGCCCGCCCACTTTAGAATCATTGGAGGGAGTGCTGCGTCTGGGCCCGCCCACTTTAGAATCATTGGAAGGAGCGCAGAGTCTGGGCCCGCCCCATGTAGAATCATTGGAAGGGGAGCTGAGTCTGGGCCCGCCCACTTTAGAATCATTGGAAGGAGTGCTGAGTCTGGGCCCGCCCCATGTAGAATCATTGGAAGGAGCACTGAGTCTGGGCCCGCCCACTTTAGAATCATTGAAAGGAGTGCTGAGTCTGGGCCCGCCCCATGTAGAATCATTGGAAGGAGTGTGGAGTCTGGACCCGCCCACTTTAGAATCATTGGAAGGAGTGCGGAGTCTGGGCCCGCCCACTTTATAATCATTGGAGGGCAAGCTGAGTCTGGGCCCGCCCACTTTAGAATCATTGGAGGGAAAGCAGAGCCTGGACCCGCCCACTTTAGAATCATTGGAGGGAAAGCAGAGCCTGGACCCACCCACTTTAGAATCATTGGAGGGAAAGCAGAGCCTGGACCCGCCCACTTTAGAATCATTGGAGGGAAAGCAGAGCCTGGACCCGCCCACTTTAGAATCATTGGAGGGAAAGCAGAGCCTGGACCCGCCCCAGCTCTACATCATCATGTCCGACACAAGAGACTGGAAGGCTTCTATTGGTTCATGGGAATGTTTGCTCAGCTGTCACATGATCAGTGGGTGTGGCCATATACAGTTCCACTATAAATCCTTCCACCGAGCCCCATAAGCAGTGATGTCATCACAGAGAGTATTGCCGTCGTCCTCTCATTGGATGTCGGTTGTCACGTGACCAGTCTGGATGTCCAGTATGTAATCCTTCTCCCCGTGTGTCCCGTACAGTGCCATCTTCTACCTGATTGGTGTCTGCTGGTTCCTGGGCCTGGCCTTCCAGCCCTTCACCCTGCGCTCCTACATCTCCGAGAACTCCATGGGATCCACCATGGTGGACGAGAAGTTCATATACGGGGACCGAGCGCTCTCCTACGCCAGAGAGTTCGCTGCGCACAAGAAGTCAGCCGGGTGAGTGATGTGTGCGAGAGGTGATCAGTCTGCTGCAGGCAGGAGGAAGCATTTCCTCA